GAATAAGTGAGCCACTATTTGAGGATTCTATACAGTTTCTTAAATGCTATATATAGATATCTGAATATATTATTTTACTCATTTATTTTACAAAAAACTGTGCGTCAGTGTGTGTGCAAGGAGCTCATTGAATGCCGCAGAGTCTCAGTGAGACTTCACTGACTGATCTTGTGTGAATTTACAGACTTCTGAGAAAACAAAGAGCCCTTTCTGCTGCTGCTGCTTACAAATCTAAAGAAAATCACAAAACACAGTTAACTTCTCAATCTGGCTTTAAGCAGAGGAGAGGAAACACGTCCAGCTCCCAGTGCCTCCTGGAGGAAACAGTTACTAACTACAGACTGCTGAGCATCAAGGGAATGAAGGTGTGATATTAMACTGTCTTCACTCTGACAGGAATGAAAAATATCAGACGATTTAATTAAACCAGGCTTTTAAAATATCCTATCTTACTGAGCTGAGGCTGTTGGCGACTAGGGGTGTAACGATACATTGATCTATATTGATTGTAATGGTTCATGATTCAGTTATATTGAGACAAAATGAAAATATCGATCTATATCATCATCATATGCTCGATATGAATCGATATCATCTGCAGTCATATGAATTGAACTGAATCAAAATCATATCGTGACAGACTTTGTGATATTGAGAAATATTGAATCATCATTCAAACATATCGATGTAATATTGTATCGTGATAAAGCTGGTGATTTACACCCCTACTGGCGACTTGATGGAAACTCAGTTAAAACTAGGAAGTCTCAAGCCGGGTACACACCAAACGTGTTTGGAGCAGCCTAAGCAGCCAGTTTACWTGCAAAGTCTATGGTGGACGCACATCTAGGAGCGGCTCAGCACGTAGCGGCGCGTTTTGCCAGTTGAGAGCAGCGYGCAACATGCAGCAGCTGCAAAGCAGCGGCTGCTGAAGTTCAACAAATTGGACTTYGGCTGCTCGCCGCTCAGCACCAACCAATCAGGAGAAAAAAWTTTTTCACATGACGGTTTCATGAACCGACACAGACGGACAGGAGCCTTTTTAGCTGAAATCGACAGTCTGCAGTTGGTGTTCTAGCTGGAGAGATCAGCACCGATGTGATGAGACAGCAGCAGCAGCTAGCTGAGCTCGGGGCAAAAAAAAAAAAAAGGATCAGCTCGCAGTTCCTGGAGTGGTGAAACTTTAGTAAATAAAACAAAGCCATTGTATTTATTTCATCTTTATTTCACCCGTCATTAAAGACAGACCGGAAAAAAACCAAGACCCTCCTCTCTCTACAGCCTCTAGTGTGGTCCCGGTATGGGGAAAAAAAAAGTCTGTGAGAGCGTCTCTAAATTATCTGGTGAATTAATTATCTGCTCTGTGCGCAACATTCTCTTTCTCTTTAGTAAATAAAGCAAAGCTATTTTATTTATTTTATCTTCATTTCAAACATCAAGCAACTGGAAAAAGAACAAAGACGCTCCTCCCATTGCACGTCTTTAGACGCGTTCGGTGTGAATGGACAGCTGCTGACAAGCAGCCAAACGCATACGGCAGGAGCAGTTTGGCTGCTCCAAACACGTTTGGTGGGAACCCAGCTCTAACAGAAGAACATTTGAGAAACATGGAGAACATTTCTGGAATGAAAACAGGCAGTTTGGGGCAGTGGTAGTTTTGGACTGGGCCGTTTGCTTCAGATGTTTTCTCTTCATGCCAACCAGCTGCAGCCCAGTGTGATACTACCTTAACTAGTCGCAGAATGTTTGTCGTCATGTCTTGCAAAACAGCAATATTTTAAAGAAACCTAAAAGTAAGCTATGGCGAGTGTATTTTGCCAGCTCTTTGGGCTTCATCTCATTTAATCACTCATGTAAAACGGATGACTGCTTGTTGATGTTTGAGACAGAACAGACTCTGCCTGAGGAGTGACACAGCATCAGATCAACCAGTTCAGAGAAAGAAAAGCTCAGCCCCGAGTACAAATGATCCAGGATGAGGAGCAGGACTGCAGGCTGTTGTAGGTGTGGATCTTTAGTGGGGTTGGACAAGAAGGAAGCAGTCCCATCACACTAATCTAAAAAAATATAGCTAACTCTTCTTCAAGCTTCTTCCTTGTTGAAATTTCTGCTTTTTTGTCTTTAGTTACAATTATTCTTTTTCTTTGGTCATCTGGGTGAACTGACCTTTTGAGATTTTTTTCCCCAACATCTGTGAGGACATTTCTACTGACTGACCCTTCACAGGAACATCAGAGCTCCACACTGAGACATGACAATCCTCAAGAGTTTTCAAATGAAATCATGGTGTGTGTGTGTGTGTGTGTGTGTGTGTGTGTGTGTGTGT